AAAGCGAGAGCGCTCGAATTTGGCCGCAACCAAATGTTAGTAGCCTAAGCTTTAAAGTAACTATGGTTTTATATTTGAATCGTGCTGAATGAGAGCTCTAAGTACACCTCATTCATAGGTGAAGAGTGAAACTTCAATTCAAAAGATAAAACAATAATCAAAGAAGGTGCTAAGACCTTCACTTAAACAAGAATCATTGAGTCGAAAATTAAATACCCTAGCTGATAAACACTTATTTTTTAAAAGCCGAAATAAATAATAAGTATGTATAATAGGATATAATCTACATTAACATACTTTTCGTTTAAATATACTTTAAATATTATTATTTATATTAAATAAATATGCCCTGTTCTTCATTAATTTATTTGATTTTCTATTAAACCTTAGTGTCAATAATATTTTCCTTCTATCTAACAATTATTGACTCTGAATTGTAGATTCTCTTTTTTGCTGCAGTCCATAAAAAAAACACAGCTATTAGAAAATTAAAAAAATGGGAGCGGCTGACCGACTGGCATCTGAAAATTGTCTACAGCAATTTCCAGCTGTCAAGTCATGCTGAAAAATGTACATAAGGATAATTGCCTTTAATTTAAAAGGCGAAAGAAATAAAGAAAGGAATCATAATTGTCTCTGAACATATATGACGGCCACACGCCGCACACTTCGACAGGTTCCACTTTGGCATTATTGACTGCTGGCCGTGTCCTTGTCGAGGCATCCTGACAATAAGTTGAGCTGTTGGTGAACGCAAAACTGGGGCTGACAATGCTGTCGTCGCCGTGGCTGAAGGATCTCATTCATGTCGCTGTCGATTGTCATGTAGGGATTTAATAATCTGGCCGCTTTTCCTGCCCGCCACGCCTGACAACTTGAATGTCTTTTTCATTCTGTTGATTTACATTTACTTATTGTTTTCGCTTCCCTCAACTCCCGCCCCTCTCACGCTCCCAACGAAAGTTTCACCTTGCGCGAGAGTTTCCCTTTCCTCGGAGCAAATAACGGAAATGACATGAATTCACTTTTAAATGATTCATCAACGGTGCCAAGGACAAAACGACAAGCGCGAGCAAATTGCCCGGCAAAGGTCAAATGAAAATCAACCGAATACGTTAAACATCATAAAAAATACATATCCATAATTGGCATGTGTCATTGAGACGCAGCCAGCGCCAAAGGGTCAGACCTGATCGAGTTACAGTCAAAACAAAGTCGAGCGAACGGCAAATCGAATGCCAAATGTGCGTAATTTGAGGAGAAATGAGGTTATATTTACATACATTTTACTTTTTTACCTATCCACTAAATGTTTTATAATTTATGGGGCGGCCATTAAAGCAAAGGCCAAGCCTACGCGAAATTGTGTCATTGTCTTCGAACGAAATATATGAAATGTGAATTAAATGAGGTTTTTTGAAGATGTAGATATTTAATACATGTAGGCCATTTGCATTAAGATATCAAAAATAAATGCCCTAGGCTAGTTCTTAGACATGACTTAAAGTTAAAGTTAAAGCCTTGTCAGGCTAGACGAGTGTTGTAAATATTTGAAAAGTTTAAAACCATTTCCAACCCAGCCAAAGCATGCGAGTGACTGCAGCGAATGCGTTCTATTTGGGCGGAAATTGCCGCGGACTGCCGAGCATTTCATAGCTATGCAGCGCACCGAAAGGCAATTGCAAATGCATTGGCTTTTATTTGGCCACCAGCCGTAGCCGTAGATGTTGGCTGTCCCATGCGGCGTATACGCAACAAATTGACATGTTGCGGGCAGCCGTCAAAGTGCGTGTGTCGAGAGTTGTGTATACACTGTATATATATTTGGAATTTCGGGGTTCTGTCTATTCATTGATGGAACGCCAAGAGTGACGCACAGTTTTGGTGGCATCATTGACGCCTCCTGGACATGGGAGCATGGGTGGCAGGCAAAAAAGCAGAAAAGGCGGCGACGACGAGTTTAACTTATTGTTGGCAACAAGTTTGCAGTCACTTCTGACAGTTTCGCTGTTTACATTCAGGTCTTGGCCAGAGCCAGTGTTGTGCTTAAGTTTGTGGGCGAGAACCTTTGAGATATTTTCCCTTTACACTTGTCGGCGCAACCAAGAAAAGTAACAGAAAGAAAGTGTGGCTATAAGAAACAGCAATATAAATGTTGATTCTGTGAATAACTTGCACAAAGTTTGCCAGAAGTGTTGCAAAACGTTTCGAACTGCAAGCACCGCATTGATCTGACACACATATCGATTGTTAACTAGCCCCAATCATCAGCAATTCTTCTGAGCTGCCAACAGAAAGAAAAAAAACAAAATAAATGTTGATTCTGTGAATAACTTGAAGAAAGTTTTCCAACAGTTTTGCAAAACGTTTCGAATTGCAAGCATAGCATTGATCTGACACACATATCGATTTTGTATGGCCAACAATTCTTCTAAGCTGCAGTCTAGTCAATTACATTCAATTTTGCCAGCATTTTAAAGCTGACAACTCACATTTATAGTGGATGCAGCCAATTTGACGGCAATTTATTTTAATTAAAATTTCACTAGCCTGCTAGGCGCATTTGCGTGATTAAAAAGTTGAAAGGACAACAACGTCAGCGGCAACGGCAACTGCTTCCATTTCAATGTCATAAAAATAGCTCACGTGTCACGCCCATAAAAGTCACACATAAAACAACAAAAGTTACTATAAACACGGCGACAACAACAAAAGCAAATTTAATTACAAACAAGCAAACATTAAAATTTGTAATTCCATCATAAAAATGTTTTTTTTTTGGGCATTAGCTTGGGGTTGGCTAACGCCACCTGCTCGACAGCAGATATTTACATTCAGCTACTTGTATTTCCTCAATAAAAGCGCTGCAGATTAGCCAATTCTCAAGGGGGGAAAGCGCTCGATGGGTCTGGAAATTGCGGTTTTTAATTACTTTATTTTATTGCGCAAGTTTTTTGGTACTCGGGCGCATTGAAGATTCCACAGTACATAAAATCTACGCGGTGTGAAATGGCAGCCAGCCGAACCGGACAGCGTTAACATGCCACTTGGACATGGCACTTGCCACGTTTCCCCTCACGTTTCCCTCATCTGTTGTTGCCGTTGTTAACTGAAACTTGAAAGTCGTCGGCAGGCAGGCAGCAACTGAATTTGAGTTGTCCGTTGGCAAGGCTTTGTTCCATGACCAGTTCATTTTACTCAGCACTCGCAGAACATGCGTTGGCATTTGCTTCCTGCTCCTTCTCCTTCTGCTGTTCACTGTGCCTGCCTCCGTGTCCCCTCCTTCCAGTTACTGCAGTGCCACATGACACGTGTCACATGATGCCGCACCCACGGACAGACAATCTCTGACTTTACACCAAAAATTTGTTAGCAAAGAGTTGATGAGAATGGCCAGACAATGGGAATGAAATGTTGCTTAAGACAGTTAAGAATAAAGATTATCGAGAAAGAACGATTTAATACCCTTGCATACCCAACCATTTCGTTATGTTTTAGGTTTCGACCGATCGTTCCTATGACAGCAATATAATATAGTAGTCCGAAGTTGATAGGATAGGATAGTAGAACTAATAAATGATATAATTGGTCAATTTTTCATATAAGAACCTACATTTCAACTGATCATTGCTATGGCAGCTATATGATATAGTGGTCCGATCTAACAACAGGGGGGGCACTTCAGCAAAGTTACTTGACGATAGCTTTTAAGCTGAGAGACTAGTTCGCAGAGAAACAGACAGCGGAAAGACGGGCATGTCTATATCGACTCGGCTATATATGTTTTATGGGGTCAAAGATGTCTGCTTCAATGCTTTACACATTACACGACAAAATCATAGTACCCCCTCCACGGCCACACAAATTATCGACACAGATATATACTATATATCTATTAAAAAAATATAGATAAAGATATGTGGAGTATTTATATTATTATTAATTTAAGCAGTGAAAGATATTATAAATCCCACTGTACGATTCCTAGCTTAGATGGTTCACACACACACACACACGTACACAGTCTCTTCAGTTTTACTGTTAGACTTCCTTTCGAGACTCAGACTTGGCAGCATTGGCAGCTGCTAGTGATGTGTAACGCGTACTCGGCTAGCCAGCAGCCACGTCGAGGTATTTGTCAATTAACGCTTATTGTCTTGGGCCAGAGTTTTATTTTCGTGTTCATTTTAAATTGTTATTCCCATGAGTTGTTGCCAGAATTCATATGTAGATAAGGTTGAGTGTGGCGCAGCGTTGCCAACACTAAAGATGCGAGGAACGGGCAACTGCAGCGTTGCATTTCAAATTTCAATTTACCGACAACTGTTTCGATTGTTTACATTGATTTATTTACGTAGTTGTTTATGCGGTTTCGCATAGTTCTGGGGCTTTTGTGAGTTCGCTGCACTCCCTAATCCACAAATACTCTCAAATTCGCAGCGATTCATATCGATTCGAATCGGGTTTCAGTTACTCAATATAAAATTTTATATATTTTTCGGCTCTCTCTCTACAGCTCTCTTTCTCTCGACGGTATTGAAATGGATTTATTTGGGCTGGCAAAATATTTGGCAAGTCCCGATGCACGGCATTTTTATTTTATGCGCCGTGTTGGGCAACGGTTTTACATGCAATGTATCTATCTACAATAGTCGCTGTTTACATTTGTGGGCGTGGCACCAAAAGCAGCTCAAATAGCACAAAGGCATTAAAACCAGCTGCATTGTGTTGCTTTGCAGTAGTCCTATTGGAAAACCCATATATGTATACACAAAAGAATATTATTTAGTTCGACTGGCAACAATGGAGCAGTCAATGAACACGATTTCCAAAAAAATATAATTTGCTGAGTTTTCACAAATTCTATTCACCTGAAAGTGGCAGCAAATTCTAAGGATATCAGTTTCTCGGATTGTTTGTCCAAGTGATTTCATTAGAACAATAATAGAAATAAAATGTTGAGCATTGCGGAAGCTTTATGCTCAAATATATATAATACTCTTTCCTGTTCGTATATAGCTTTGAAATTGTGCTCAAAAATTGTGAAGAATATGTAACTCAAATGTAAAACAAATCGAATACATTTTTTTTGTTAAGCTCCCAAGCATTGGGAACTTGAAGCGTTTCGAAAAATCGGCATCAAGGGAAGTGCGTGCAGATTGTGATATCATAAGGCACACGTATATATATATAAGGATTTCGGGTCCTTAATACACTTGTATATTTATATATATTCGGGGTAACGTGTCCTTGAAAAAGCTGCCAATATTAGCTTAGGGAGAATTCGAATGTAAGTAGTATTAATTGGAAAATTTTTTCAGAGCTGCAAGCAATAAGAATTTAGGAAGAATGCGCAACGATAGCGAAGGGATTGATGTAGGCACAACCACCGAGGTGGACGAACCTTCCGAGGCAGCGGGGGGCGTTGTGTCCGAAGAGGACGAGGCCTGCGTCCTGCCCAGCGGCAGTCGCACTCTGGACAAACGCCTAAACCCAGAGGCGCCCGACTTTGTGCCCGGCGTGACAAATCGCTTGCTTGCCGCCAAAATAGTCGATGAATGTGGGTAGCCAGCCAATCTCCGGGTTATATAATTTTATATATTTATATTGATGTTTTTCTCACACTTGCAGTGGTGGGCTATACACGCTGGAGCAATGCCGCAGGCGAGGACATATCGTACGGGGCGCGTTATGATGGAATCTGGAGCGAGAGCTGCATTCAGTCCCAGACGGAGGCGCAACTGGATCTGGCTGCCAGCGCCGGGCATGATGTCACAGGCATGCAACAGCTGCCCAATATCATCGAGACTGTGGGCGACCTGGACCGGCAGCCATCGATGAAGAAGAAGCGATCCAAGAGCCACAATCAATACGAAGTCGAGCCAGGTGCCGAAACTACACCGACTGGTCGCTGCTGTGCCTGCGAAATCATGTAGTTGTCCTTGTGTTCCTTTTATCTATAATAGTTATACTTATTAAAGCATTGTCTCACTATATTTAAGAGAATAAACGCCTAACTGACACGCCCACCCGATACCTATGGCATAAATCATAGCCCACAGTCAGCCAGTCAGCCAGGTTACTTTGTCCTGACTTTCTAATGATGTTGAATATGCATTGAAAGTTTCGCCTTGACGCGAAAATTGCTGGCACAAAACTTGGCTTCTCGCCTGCTACGCATGCAGCCTCACCTGTCTCCAGGTGCCCGCATCGTCAAGCAGGCTGCACTTGCATCCCACTGCCAAGACCCTTCCTGCACCCAGATTGTATCTGTGCGACAAGTTAGGCCATAAGTGGCTTATGTATGTGTGTGTGTGTGTGTAATGAGAAAAGATTCGTGTCTTTTCATGTCTCATTTAGAGCTGAAAGCAATGTACGCTGAATTGTTGCACAACTTGGTTAAACGACATCAGCGCGTTACATCAAAAGATGATGGGCACCCAAAAATGGACGCAGCTGTCCTTTTGGCTGAAGACCCGCTGACTTTTGAATGATTAAAATGGGCTCGCGGCCATAATTGCACTCGGTCCGGGGGCCAGCCCATGTGAGCGCAGCTGTAGAATTTGGCGGAAACAATTACCAAGTTGTATGCAAAAGTGCAAATTGCCGGCAGGCAACTTTGCCCAATGTCACCCACACACACGCACGCACACACACACTTGCAGACACACAGAGAGAAAGGTCAGCGCGAATTTTGCTAACATCACAGAAAGCTACTCAGACAAGAGTTCGAATTTCTTAAACCAAGAACAAAATTCTTATTTATTTCAGCATCTTTCAATTTCATGAATCTCTTCTTTTTAGCAATAACACTCTTGAATTTATATTTTCACCAACTTTATCTGAGTTTTACAAATTTGAAACAAAGTAAATTTTATAATTATTTTGAGTATACATTTTTCCGTGGTAGGAAGAGTGTAAATATATCCCGCTTCTACAGGAATTCAGAACATTTCAATAAAATATACTTGGAGTAAGCAGATGATTATCCCTTTCAATTGCCTTTACCTAATTGAGGTAAATATCAAAATGATATGAAGACACATATTATATGCCTGTTTACCCATTCAAATTCAAAACTCACACCGTTTTCTCTCGCAGTGTAACCACACGAACCAATGGGGGACCTGAGCCAAAGGCATTGTCAAAATGTGTCCTGCAGCCGTTGTCCTATCGCTCCACTCTCTGTCTCTCTGTCTCTTCGCCTCTCTGTCTGGTTATTCGCCACCTACGCTGGCAATTTCCGTGCAGTTTTGCCTGCTGTTTGTTTATGAAACAAGTCACGTAAACGTCGACGCTCGCTGCGGGGGCGTTGAACTGAGCACACGGTCTAATGGGCGTGCCGGCACCTTCTGCTGCCAGACCCAGTTGTTGCCACTTTTCGGCAAATCGAAAACGTAGCAATTGTCAAGTGGCACGTCACCTGCCAGGCAATTGGCCATGGCAAATGTAAGAACCCCTCTCCCCTTCAGCTGCCCATTTTTTCTAGGCCAAAAAGTTTGGTGATCTTTGGGGGCCCCGACGCTGATTGTTGACACTTGGCTGTTTGTTTCTTTGTTCAAGTTGTCGCTGCATGCATATTCATTGGGCAAATATTTTTGTTAGCCACCGACCATGTTAACAGGCCGCAAGAAAATAAAAACATTTTCGCAGATGGCAATAAATGCCGCCAGCTAACCAACAATGACACCATTCATGATTTATGCATCGATTTCAAATCACAAATGCACAAAAAACTCGCAAACGGAACGAAACGAAAACTCCGAAATCGAAACGCGCCAATGCAAAATAATGTTTAAAATATGTATATAAAAATATAAAATCGAAAATATAAATATATATATTTCTGTATGATAAATAACATTTGTTTAAATGACAACCAGCTCAATAACCAAATAGTTTTCTACTCGCTGGCTAATAATCCATTAAATGGGTTATATTCGTTGATGATTTATTATTTAAGTAATCTGCTCAGAAATTTTTTGGCAATTTTACCAAATATTTCTAAGCCTGAGTTCAACTGTAGTTAGTAATAGAAATAATATATATATAAAATAATATATATAATAAAATATATGTATAATATACATATATTGTGTTAACATAATTATTATCATTATTATTATTAAAATTACCATTTTTATTATTATTGTTAATTTGCAATTAAAGACATTATTTTCTTAGGGTGTCTGCTGAGTCGTGCAAGTGCTCTGTTCGATATATTTTGTCGACAGACAACGATGCCGGCAGTTTTAGTTAAATTGAGCAACAAACACGTTTGGCAATAAAACTGATTCCACTACCCAAATGTACTCACCCCTTGCTCCTCCTGGGAAAAGCAGCCCTTACCTCGATCCGGCTCCAGCTCCAGCTCCGGCTCCGGCTCCGGCTCCATCAATAGTTGCAGCACCCCGAAAATGGACGCCGCAATGCGCTGGCGGAGTTTTGCACATTCTAACAGATTTATTTCACTCGAAATAGTTTCATTTTAGTTGCATTATTGTTATTGTTGTTTCTTGTTGTTGTTGTTATTGTTGTGGCTGTTGCTCTTATTGCCGCCTTTGTTGTTGCTGTTGCCGTTTGCCAGAGCGACTGTAAAAAGTTTTTCTATTATTTTCAAATTTAACTTTGCCATTTGTTTGAATTTCGTGTGAGTGAGCACGGAAAAGGGTAACAACGGCGATCAGAGAGGGAGAAAATGAAGGGCTGTAGCAAATACTTTGCTATCAGTTTGTTTTCGTATATGAATTATACTTACGTATTATTTATAGATATGCTAAACTTTTAAATGCACTCGCATCGAAGTGTCTTAAATGTATGAGGATAATCTGAAAATAAGAAATAAATTTTTGATCAAATACAAATCGGAGCTTTAAAGAAGAAAACTTACTTTGAGGCAAATACTTCTTTGCAACAGCTTTCAGTTCTCATCGCTTCGTCGGAATGTCCACAATGTGTGAGAAAAATCTGAATGCAAGATATATATTCTGATTAAGGAATAAAAAATAATATATTAAAAATATGAATAAACGGAACTCCAATGTAGAAAAATACCTTCAAGTGAATATTCGAAGGCAAATACTTCTCTGCAAAAGCTTTCACTTCTCTTCGTCTCGTGGCCATTCAATATTTATTCGCTTTAGATTAAAGCTCTTCTTTTAAATGCGCTCGCATCGAAGTGTCCACAATGAAAGGGGATAATCTGAAAACAAGGAATATATTTGTGATTAAATAAAAATCGGGGCTTTAAAGAATAAAACCTATGTTAAGCCAAATACTTCTCTGCAACAGCTTTCAGTTCTCTAGTCTTTTTCTCGAGTCCTTTCAATATTAATTCGCTTTAGATTAAAGCTCTTCACATGTTGTAGCTCAACTCGGGCACACGGCCTGTTTACAGATTTCCGTCGCTTGAATTTGATAGCACTCCTAACCCGTAAATCCCGGGTTACCCTACGCCGCCCCGCCCCTGCAGCTGACACGCGTCCCTGGGTTCATTTGCTGCCAAAACAAACACAGCGCAAAGGTGCCCAAATTACTGCCGGTTCGTGTGGCTGTTGTTGTTGTCGCTGGTGTCAGTGTTGCCACCTTGTCGTACAGAGCATAAAAAAAAATGGGGGAAGCTAACAACATGGCCGCACAAACAGTTGCAAATGTTGCATTTGCATGCATGGCCAGACGCTCGCCAGTAGCCACGGCTACTCTTCCTCATCCCCGTCCCCACCCCTTATACCTGCGCACGAACACAGGTGAGCTGCGCTGCTATTTGGACAAGTGACATATGCGACACACACACACGCACACACACACACACACATACAGAGAGAGCTCATGCAACATGCAAAATAGTGTGTCAAAAAGGAAAGCTGCGCAGATAGCAGTCGACTTTGGCGTCGACGTTGCGGCAACACCTGCGGCGCTGCTGCGCTTAAGAGGAAGCGCTGGCTGCGCGCAAATTGCAGGAAACCGGGCAACGGCGAACGGCGAATGGCAAACGGCAAGCAGCAAACGAGGAGCGACAAACAAACGAGCAAACAAACAGCAGGCAGCAGGCAGCAGGCAAACTAAACAACAAACTGTGCGCACTGTGTTTCAATACCCTGTCGCCATTGATAATGGACAAAACAGGGCATATTGCAGTAGTGCGTAAGTATGTAACAGGAACTAGAATGCATATTCGAACTTGCGTCGAGTCGAATCGATGTCATGTGATGTTCTGTCTATCTACACTTTAGAACCATTTTAAAAACACTTCTGAACCAATTCATATAAGGAACAAAATTAATTGGTTTAGATAAACTATTTCTTAAGCCCTGAGTCGGACCCCCAAAAACAAAGCTTGCAATCTTGATGGAGACATTGTAATGGAATATAAGTTCCTGCTGGAGACATAAGTTACGACATTTAAGTAAATTTTTCTTAAAAATTGATAACTAGCCTGAGTGCTAGCTGAGTACCTCCGAGTCGGACACTCTCGACTCGACTGACGCATTATTTCTTGTTGTTTTTGCTGCTTTTCTTGTAACTGGCCCCTTTTATCCCGCTGCCCCTATGTTTTGACACAGTTCACAGAACTTGCAAGCGCAATTTTTTGTTGCTGTTGTTTTTTTGCTGTTTTTAGTTGCAATTAAACATGCAACTGCCACACAGAACGGGCAAATGTACAACTGCAGCGACAGACGGACTGACGCATCCGACAGAGCATCGCTCATCAGTCCAGAGTCCAAATTACATGTATGTGTGTGTGCGTGTGTGTGTGTGTGTGTGTGTAGCCTCGCGTTGCTCTGTTATTGCAACTGAGAAGCGTGAAAAAATAGTGAGAAAAATAAAAGAAATGCGTGACAAATATTTGGTTGGCTGCAATTGAATTGTGAGCAGAGCAAACTAACTCATGACAAGATCTGGGAGAGGAGGTCGGGGAGTATGCGTGAGGTCCAAGTTTGACTTGTAAGTTAAAGCCAAAAAAAAAAACTGGCAATTGATGACCAATAAACTAAAATACACATTCGAGCATGCTCTCGGGTCATCAAAAATAAATGCATTAGGTAACAATTTATTTAGCCATAGCTCGGTCAATAAATTAACATAAATTTGTGTACATCTGGATGCCCGCAAAGCAAATTGATTTAAATAATGATAGATCATCGCACGGGGCCATAGTTCATGTCAGCATTTGTCCGTCAACAAATTTGCCATTTGACACATTTCAATTAGTGCTATTATTTGAGTACAAATACACGTAATTCTTATACATTATTATGGTATTAAATTTCAATTAAATCGGTCATTCATTTGTACAGAAACTCAATCAATGTCCAATTACAGGTGCACTACGGCAAAATGTGTTCATAAATAAATCATGTCCTATTTGTTTGCAAAAGTAAATACTAAAAATAATACCAAGAAACTTTTACGCTTTATAAATAATACTAAAAGTAAAGCCAGCTGCAAAAGTATATAAATAATTTTTCGGATGGAAATGCGACAAACCTTTTAAATATTTCTGCACTATTTATTTGTCTGTGGCGACGGGCAATTTGTACGGCATGTCCACGCCCGCCATGTGTATGTGTGTGTGTGTGTGTGTGCGTGTGTGTTTGTGGTGTGTGTGTGTGGTGTGTGTAAATAAATATTTCAGTTGCCCTGTCGCCCTTTGTTACTAATTAATTTATATCAACATTTCAATGCTAAGCCAAACAAAACAATCAGCTTAATGTCGGCCAAAGCACACACACACACACACACACACACGCAGACACACACACTAAATCTATGTCTTTTCTTGTAAGTGTGGTGGTGCTGGTGGGCTGTTCTTAAAGTTTACCTATATCCAGCTATATTCATTTCACAAATTTGGTTATTTAACAATTGCCTTACATTTAGCTATGTAAATAGACTGTTAACTTAGCAGTCTGTTATTAACATTTGCATTTTTACATAGGAAGAGATTAAATGAGAGATTAACAGTATTCAAAAGTTTTCCTACAATCTGAATTCATTTAATATGTTTAATTTTTAAAAGTTCTCAAGATTTTTAATTGTACACAAATTGGAAGTTTTTCTTCTTATTTAAATTTATCCAATATATATTCGTTCGATTTCTTGAAGCTGCCCACGTTTGGGCTGGCTGTGATTGTATTTAAAGGATTAACAGCCTCAAGGCTGCGGCTTTTGCTACTTTCACACGAATGCAGGATTAGCTTGGTGGACGGCAAGAACGGAGACGACGACGTCGACGACGGCGCCTTCAATGTTTATTTTTGCCAAGAAGCTTTGGCCTGGCTCATTTCTGTTGTTGTTGTCGTTGGCGTTCTTCAAGCTGTTGTCTGTTTGTCTTTTGGCTGACTGTTTAAGTTGGCGCCCTGTCTAGGCCCGGGCCGCAAAAACTTTCGGTCACACATGACGCCCCTTGGTGTGATTTAAAGTTTCATTGTCGCATCTCCGGTTCGCCCCCAGGAAATCGCAAATTAAATTATGGTCTTATGTGTGTGCACAAATCGATCATAAAATACTAATTACTTGGCGAACTAAGCACGTTAACACGCTCCCACATAGATGGACGGCAGGGGGCAACAGGGCGGGGGACGGCAGGACGATTAAAAGCTTAATTATCCCATTGCGACACTTCATTAGTTTGGGCGTGCAAGGATCTGGCAATCCTGCACACTTATCCGGCTGTCGCTGCCGGCGTCACAAGTTCTCGCCACGTTTATTGCAATTAATTTTCTTCAGTTCAGTTTCAGTTTTCGGTTTTCGGTTCTAGTTTTAAGTGCTTTTTGCGCGCGTGTGTGTAAGTGTGTGTGTGTGTCTGCTGTTGCTGGCTAATAAGCCTTCGGTGGACGCTCCGTTGACTTTTGGCCAGCTGTATCCATTGCTCATGTGGTCAGCTCCTTCCCACTTCCCCTGCGTCCAAACCCCTCACACGTAGAAACAGCACCAAAAAAAAAAAAAAAAAAAAAACACGTTTGCTGTCATTGCTCAATTAAGTTGCGAAGCAGCCTCTGAAATATTTAGTTCCATTGTTTGGCAGCTTTTCTTCTTTTAATTTTTTATATATTTATTTTATTTTTTTGGCATACGCAGCTAATGGAAATTTCCTGTGCTTTTTATTTGAACACGGCAAAAAAATAAAAATAAGGCAAAGAAATTTTAGCTTATTTTCTTTCAACAGATTCAATTTGAAACGCAACATTGAATTAAATTACGTGAGCGCAGGGCAGGGGTTGAGTGAGAGTTTGGAGTCATACTCTGAATCGAAATCAGAAGCAGAATAAAAATGATGCCAAGTGATGGCATTGAAGCGTGGTTAACTGGCAACCGTAACAATAATATGGCCCACAAAATCGCATAACAATGAAACTGGCTAATAGTAAAAAAAATGTTCTGGCAAGAAAAGAAGCAAGCAAAAACTTTTTTACCATTTCAAGGGACTAGCGACTATACTACTTCACGCTTACACTGTCCAGCCAAGACTTGGAAATGAGCAAGAAAATTGTAGAGAAGAAAGTATCGTCATATATGATAAATATAAACTTGCTTAGCGCATGGTACTAGAGGTTATTATCACATGTTATTATTTTTCAGGACAATAATTATATATAATTATTATTTATATTTGATATATATACCATAAATGTATATTTTTTTAATGAGTTCTTGAATCCGCTTTAAGCTCTGCTAAAATTCACAAATCAGACTATCAATAATTCCTTAGTACTAGAAATCAACTTGAGCCTTATTCTACTCTCCGTCTGTCTTTTGACAGAATGTATTTCAAATATAAATCGAGAGATCGACTCAGCTCGTCGTCGACTCGAAGATGCTTGCATACAAGAAACAAATCTTGTATTATGATAATTTACTATCCTTGTAATAAATTACTGAGTATGTCGCTGTCGCCCTCAACAGAAGGGGCCAATTGTCTGTCGGCTGATTCATTGTAAGGGTAATAAGATAATATTCTTAGACCCCCAAATTGGCCAACAAAAATCAGACAATTAGCCGCATTTGCTCAAGCAACCGAATTGGGGTTTCATCTTTTGCGCTTGCGAACCAACACAAAAATCGACATAAATTATGCGCTTCATGCCTTGCCCAGTTGACTTTTTGCATTAAAACGCTGCATAAATCAAAAAATGGAAGCTTAACTGGCACATACACACACACTCACAGACTCGATCGCCGCTTAGGGGTTGCAGGTTCAACCCTCACGTAGTTGCATGCTGTTTTTTGTGGAGCCGCAGGAGCTGGCCGCACAATTTGGCACGTGTGATAAACTCAAAATTGTTGCTGCCAGCGGCTGCAATTGGCCGCCGCCTGTGACTGCCACTGCGACTGCGACTGGAAGTGTCAGCATTTTCCCGGAAAACGGCTAAGCGAAAACTTTGCCAGATTTTTCCGTTTATCTGGCGCATGTAGTTGACCTTTTGGGCGGCGCAAAAGTTTTGCCATTTTGCCGTACATTAAAAACTATTAGCTGCGGGCCCCACAAAAAAAAATATCCCAGCTCGCAACGGGCTGCCTTTTGCGAAAGATCGAAAAATATGACAAATGTTTTTTTAGCAAGTTAAAGCAGTTAAACAATTTGAATTTTGAATATTCAGTTAACAATCTATGAAGAGTTTTTTCTTATGAAAATGTGTTTGTCTTATGGCAACGAGGTAACAAACCAAGACCCGAACTCTTAAGAAACAGTGTTCTTTATCAATAAACCCATTAATAATTGGTAAAGAGGGTATAATGTATTTGTGAAAATTTATGTAACAGGCGGAAGGAAGCATCTCGAACCGCATAAAATATATACATATATATCTAGCCATGCCCGTCTGGCTGTCCGTCTGTATGAAGGCAAGAATCTCAGCACCTATAAGAGCTAGAGACTTGAAAATTTGAATGTTATTCCTCCTAATGCCCACGCTTACCCCGCATTAGCGAAAATCGACAGCTGGCCCCATTTCTAAGCAATCGATAAACATCGATATTGAAGTTTTAACTGTTAAAGTCACAAAATTAAACTTTAAGAATATTATATATATATATTAAGTCTCTTAAGTATTTTATAACTATCCCATAGAAGAAGTTTTAGGGTATCTCCAAGTCGGGAATAAGATCCTCCTGCTTATTTTTCCATGTAATTGTTGCTTATTTGAGGAGTGTATAAACACACAACATAGACATTGCTGGGCGATATGGCCTAGCCCTACGGCCCTTTCATTTACATTTCTTGCTATCTTATTTACATGACTTCGAGTATAACATGCATTTGCTGTCCGTCCAATGACTTTCTGTAACTGCCAATGGATTTAGAGCTGCCGCCATTATTGCGCCCCAGGCAGGCAACATTTAATGGCAACATGCGCCTGCATGCACTTCAATGCATAAACGAAACATGTTGCCATCAGCTGCAACTGCATGTCGCATGTAGACTGGGAGGCGTGTCTCGCATGTCGCACTTGGCCCTGAGGTGTGCGCATACTTAGGCCAATTACAGTTGGCCGGCCAGGCCAGGGTGTGCGATAAGCCCTTTGATAGCGAAATCTTCCCATGCGGTTGTATGAACGACGCAGCCGGACTCTATACGGCGTGTTTGCCGGGTGACTAATTAAAGAACGCGTACGTAGCATGGCCGAGGCAGAGGCAGAGGCAGCTGCATAGATTTCATTTTTGGCGACGACTAATGGCTGCACTTTGACCGCAGCTGCCGCCCGGAGTGGAGTCAGCATTATAACCCCCTTCCGCGGGTTTTGTGTGCATGTAAAAGTTGGGCGGGTGAAATGACGACGACATGCTGTTGTAATTTGCAACTTAAAACTGTTGTCCAGCGAGCTGGAGCTGGAGCTGGAGCTGGATGCTCTGCTAATGCCAAGTGCTGATGCAGCAGCAACGCGGCGCGTTATTTGAATGTGATTTAATATGAAAGCCAGAGGAGACCGAAGCGAAACCAAGCCAAAACCCACTATGAAAATGAGTCATTACAGATATGCAATCAGGCGGCGACCAGCTCGCTGCTGTTCCTGTTGTTGTTGTTGTTGATGTTGTTGCTGGTGTTGGTCGCACCCGCAGCGTTGGCAAGGCGCCGACCACATCGAGTCATTTGTTAACAACCAGCGCGCGGTTTTGTTACACCAAATGCGCGGAAGTGTGTAGTCGGATGTGGTCAAGCATACGCCATGTTGCCCATCAAAATGTATTCTTTTTTTCCCCAGCCAGTGTTCTAGTTGTTGTTGCTGTCATGCCCTTTGCTGTCGTTCCGTAATGTTTTTATATTTCGATTTTGCTGTTGTTGCTTTTTGGTGGTTTTTATTAACCAAAATGCATGGGATTCTATGCACGAATAATGCGAAATTTATGGCACACAAAACGTGACACTACCCGAACTGTCTGGCCAGCCCCTACCCCCTACCCCTACCATCCCCTCCCTCCATCATTCCATATGCACACAGCTGGCATATCATTGCGGAAGCAACTCATTTCGCATTTGACTGCGCCCTGCATGGCATTTGAACTTGGATTTGGATTTGGATTTGCATTCGCTCAGCATGTAGTTTTAATTGTTTCGTCGCTGAATTATATATATGGCATGCTCTCGGGTCCTTGCAGCACAAATAACGCACAGTTTATTGCATTTAATTTCGAGCGGCACAACCAACAACAACTATTTACACTTTAAACAGACCCAAATGGACGTCTGTCTGCTGTTTTTTAGCTGACCGCAGCGCATTTTGTCAGTTTGTTATATTTTTTTATTTTTATTTTCGGCACAATTTTAGCGGCCATTTTCCATCTGCTGCAATGCAATTGATGCGCTGTGCTTTGATTGTGAATAACAACTGGCCAGAAATGAAAAGCCAACGATTGAATACACAAAAAAAAAATTCTTTTAAAAACGTATTCCAAAAGTTTAACGGCTATGAAATACGCTTAAAACAGCTCTCATTTAGACTTTTTAAATAATTCAAGTAATAGATCAAAATATTTCATTTACAAATTTAAAGGAAATAATGGGATGATAAAAGCAATTTCGATAAGATTCAATTTATAACAATAAATGAAATTATTTAAGTTACTGAAGCAATATTTAAAAAAAAATAACAATACTATAAATTTATAAACCTTACGATTCGAGGTTGATATAATTAACTTATTAACCTCCGCATCAGTAGATTATGATTAAGGGAACGCATTTTATATAAAAATTGAATGAAATAAAGACAAAAATGGATTAATAACAATATTTTTGGTATTTATCCTGTTTCCAATTATATTGAACATCAAATTAAACTATGCGGCTTGGATATACCTAAAAATTTCAGGCAGTTGGCCTTTTATTAGCTTTCTGTTGAGATACCAACTATTATTATTATTTTGTTTGTTTGTTTTAACGTTTCTATCAATCGAAATAAGGCATCATTACTAGAGAACATCTGAAGCATCACCGCGTTGTTGCCAGACAGAACAGAGAGCTGCGCGATCGTGGGAATGATTTATACTTCTGGTACTCGGAAGCAAAAGGGAAAAAGTATGCGCGCTGTGGCGAGGTCTACAAGGAGAGTCTGGACAATTGCGGCGCGGCAGACTATAAGAAATACGCCCTGCGCGGAGTCCACAAATCAGCCATCAATGATCCGAGGAAGGAGTCGCAAAACAATATTTGCTGCTACCCGATGCACTACATGGAGGACATCAACCTGTCGGAGTGAGGCCTGATATCGCCGCTGCATCATTATGCCTGCTTCAGTTCAATTTCATCAAAATACCAGAATGTGAGAAGTTCCATTAGGTGCCAGTTTCAGAGAGCTTTACTTTGCAATATGCGACTACATTTCAGCTCCCGGCATTTGGCAAGGCTAGCAAATTTCAAATGGATTTGAGACAGATTTCATGTATTTTAAATGCACAAAACGAACTTGATACTTGATTTGGTTAATTTAAGATATATGAAATTCGATGAAGCTGTCAATCCGATGCAAGTTGTCAAATTGTCATTTATGGAATTTATGAAATAAACGCATCATTATTTCTGAATTATGATAATTCTTCTGACTATAATTTCATTCATAAAATAAGTCAAATTGTATATTTTAAATTTTGACCAAATTGCACTTGATATTTCGAGCGAGTGTATTAGCTTTTTGGTGTGATTGCAGTTGCCTGTGCATTTTTTTGACTTTTGTGCGTTGCTGTGATTTAAGGTTTATCTGTTATTTAATTTGTATTGAATGTTTGCACTCGAGTTCTGGTTGTGGTGCATTTTGTGCGCTTGAATGAAGCTGGGCTGGGTCTAGCGAACTTTGGCACAGTGGCAATTCCATTTTCATTTTCATTAAGCAACAAGTTTTTAGTCAGTCGCTGCTAATGCAACAGCTCAGCAACTATCGCAAACAGTTTGCCGGAGTCAGCGTGGCTGAGTTTTTCGCTTTTCCAGAGCGTGCGCGCAACAATAGGGAAAACTGGCGGCTGTCGTGCGAAACTTTTTAATCTTGTTACGTTGGGAAAAAATAATAATAAAATTAAAGCTTGACGCTGGCTGGCACTTTGCCAGCTGAAATGCGCTTCAGGTGAAATGTTTTGTGCATTTCAATAAGCCATTTAAACTGATAATTGTTTCGCTTAAATCATTTCACCAGGCCTCCTTCCAGCTCAGCTCAGCCTCAACAAAACTGACCTTTGCCGCGGCGCCGAAAGTTAATTAAAAAATTGTGGCCATTGCGCGGGCAGCTTTTGTGTAAGTAGCCCCCGCCAAATAAACTGCAATTCAATTAAGGACGTGGCCATAAATAAGCCACGCCCACTCCCAAACACACACAAGAAAAAAAGAGAGGGGGGGGGGGGGGGGATGGCTGGAAAACTGACTGTAGGCATATTTAGGTAAATATTATTATAATTTCTGCGTTTCTACAGGCGTTCGGTTTGCTTTTTTGCGGTTTAATCTTTTATAAATAACAAATGGGGCAACTTGCTTTTTGCTCTTCAGCTTGTTGTGTGGGCGGAGTGTTGAGTGGAGGGCATGGCAGATACATAAATGCCTGCACTGTGGCAACTTGGCCAAAGTAATTATTTTTAATAATTGACTCGCCGTTCTTTGGTTTTTTTGTTTTTTTTTTTGTTACTGTTTGGCTTGTATTTTGTTGTTGTTGGCCTAAATTTGAACTTTGAACTAATTTGGCAAAGTTTCTGGTCCGCACTGCGTGTGGCTTTGGCAGCTGCTTTGGTTACTGCTCCAAGCCACGGCGCGGACTACTTAAACTAATTAAATTTATAGGTCTGTGCAAATTTCAGTGCATTTTAAAAGAATTTTAAATTTGCCTGTTACTTGTTTTAAATTGTATTAAAGTTCAAGCAATTTCCTTAAATTAAAACTTCAATCTATTAATAAATTAAAATATATATTTGATTTACATTCTTTACACACCAATTTATTGAGCAAGTCAAATATATTTATATAAATATTTGAAATCAAACTTTGTGTTTAAAATGCATTTAATTAAATATAAAACAATGCATGCGCACATACATGTGTACATAAAGTAATTATGCGCATGCAAATTGCAACTAAATAAAAAAAAAAAAAACATTATTTCAAATTAGCTAACTTCAACAAACAGCTTGCATTATTAATTTGCATTTTGCCACATTTTAGTAAATCATAAAAAACTGTTTGGTTTTTTAAGGAAATATTTGGCAATTATGTTGCTTTCATAGTTCATAAGCAGCAAAAATTAAACCAAATTATGAATATTAATTTATTGCAATACGCAGCAATTTTATGGATTCGAAATGCATTTAATTAATTGAGCATTTTTATTGCAGTTAAGCAGCTGTTGGCCCCGAAATGCAGCTGGTCGAAGGAATAAATTAACTCATTTAGCGGGGCAGCTCAACTTGGCCCCTGGTTGAAGGGTTAAAAGCCATTGAGCCAAGCCAAATATAAATACAAAGACCACAAAGCGTTTGACCCGGCTAACACACGCGACCAAAATAAATTAGTTCGCTCAAAATCAGCCAAAAGTCAAGGCAAATGATCGCCAAAACAGACATCGGGCTGACAGTATGTGGGTATGTGCGTGTGTTAAGTATGTGTGTAGTGTGTGTGCATGTGTGTCTTGCATCAAATGTCCCTTTTGGGTTTATTTCTTTATTTCATTTAATTTTTTGTTGTCAAATTTCTTCCGTTTCTTTTTATTTTGTGGCATATTTGACTTTTGCAACTCTTTGGGGGCCAACATGGCTCGTGCCACGTGCCACGAATTAAAGTGAAAGTCTTATTAAACTTTCAGATTGCCAAAAAAACCACTTGACAGCAAACACCAACACAGGAGCAACATGTTATATTTACTCTTACGTTTATTTACTTAAGTCGTGACAGCAGCCGAGAGCAAAAATTCAATATATTTTCAAGCGCAATGCTGGACGAAATTTAAATACTCTATTCAAAAAAGGGCTCGCTGAAAACGAACAACTAGTTAGTAAAATAAATTCTTCAAATTAAAGAACATATTTTAAAATATTTTTTAATTGATGCTTGTTGCCGCATAAAATATTATTCACGACAAAATAGGAAGCTTATATCCAAATATGTTAAATAAATCTTGACTATGCAACGCCAAACAATCTCGTTTAAAATTGTATTTTTATTTGGGCTCAATATAATTTTTTTTAATAATTCTCGGCATGCGGTAAACTTGACTTAGGCTTTGCGTGTCCCATAAAAAATTTACAATGCCCTGTTCGAACGAATATCAAAGACGTCTCCGAGCAGGCCACAGCCAAATATTTGCATTACTCATACGCCGCGTGGGCCTTTATTCGCTGGCATTTGCCTGGCGGCTGAGCCGTGTGTGTCTGTGCGTGTGTGTGTGTGTGTGTGTGTGTCGCGGCTGACTGCGATTTAGTGTAATTTCCGCAATCATTTCCTACAGCATTTTATGCCAAGCCGCGCATTGATACGATACACAACGCCTGCCGCCTGACTGAGCCATCGAGTGGCTGACTGGCTAACTGACTGCTTGACTGTTTGACTGGCGTTTAACCTTGGCAGCAGCTGGCTGATTTTACATTTTATATTTGAACTGGAACAAATTGCAGACATTTCTTTTGGAAACGGGCACAGGGAGGCACTCTATGAGATAAAGGTTGGCCTGGTGTGGTGCTAGTTTTTGGTTTCGGCCTCGGTTTTTGGTTGCCATTCAAAACTTTCAGTTTCATTTTGTGTGGCATTTAAGCGAAAATTGCTTAAATTGAATTATGGCATTCGCTGCATATTTCGCCGGCTCGTAGTCGTCGTCGTCGTCGTCGTCGTCGTCCTGTCTCCTCAGTCAAATGCTTTTGCATTAAATTTATAGCGCGCAATAAACTTTTGCGGTCGCTGGCAAAACTTCAACGCGCCAAATACCGCAGGGCAATTACAGCACAAAAGAGCCAAGCCAAGCCGGACCCAGCCGGGCCCGGGGAGGGGCGCATCTAGCCAAGAGCTGAGCATCGAATGAAGCATAAATGGCGAAACCAAAAATCTACATGCATAAATATGTTGGTGGGGCCGCTGGTCGGCAGGGTTCGCTGGACATCAGGACGAGTCCTGTGCATCAGCTCCAGATCCTAGCTGATTTGCTTTCATTTTTGGTTTGCTCTCTCTTTCTCTGGAACACAGGCTTATGTTGCTTTAAACAACACACCCAAACACAACAACATTGCAGTACACGAGTTTTATGAATAATATCCTAAAGGCATTAATTTTCAAATTGGTTATTTTTGCCCATTTGGCCGTCGGTGTGCATGTAAACAACAGCACAGTGTAGCATGCCTTGGCAATGCCCGACAGCCATATGGGGTAACAGAGCATAAAGAGCGAAATATGTGTAATATGATTAAATTTTATCAACAAGCGCAAAAGCAAGCAAAGACAAAAAAAGTATTCGGGCTTGCCCGACTAGAAGACCAGCATAGCTGCTAGGTCTCTCCTGCTGGCACCCTTGTAATACTTATATACCTTGAGTCCTTTCAGATTGAACAAATATGAACATATATGGCACCTTTATATTCTGCTTATGCTCTAGAAAAACTATCTAATTCCCTCTCATTTTTAACACATTGACATTTATTTTCAGACTTAATTTGTTAAGCATGACTTTAAGAGTAATAGCTAGGTACTCCGAAAATATAGACAGACATGACTAGCTCGACTCAATAAGTCGACTTTATCGCGAAAATATACACTTTATTGCTTCCTCTATCTGTAAGATACATTAAGGCAACGCCATTATACCCTCTCTACCCATGTTCAATCGGTTCAGGGTATAAACAACAGCAGCCGCACCCCAAGCCAACCCTTGGCACAAGGCACGTTCAACAGCTTCAACGACATCTATAAATGTATATAAATACATACGTAACATATATGGCCGCATGCCACAGAAGCATGTAAGCGAAATCTTCATCTCGCTGTGTCTGGCTCGTGGCAGCTTTCAGCTTTACATGTGGCAATGTGTTATTTATTGCTCATTTATGATTTGGACGCGTCACATTTGCGAGATATTGTCAAATGGCAACAGATCGAAATCGATGGGAGGAGGCGCAACCCCATCGCTGGGGCCATGTTAACGATTCGGAATTTGATATCTGTTCAAAGAGAGTATGAAGCAAATGAAATCAGGAACTCATATAACAAACAAGTTATGCTGAAATTTGATTGTACTTTTTTTTCTCTTCTTGGTATTTTTACCAAGCGCTTGAAATGTAGGCAAAATATATGAAAAGAGGATAGCATCAGCTTACAATCAATTGTTATTAAAAACCAAAAAGGTTTTCCGAATAACCCTGGGCACTTGTTATGGTAATGTTGAGAAACCAAAACGCGATAAAACAGCTTTTCAGCTAATTTAATTAACTTCATTTGAATTTAAAATTGTTCTTTAGCAAGATTAATACTATGGGAACAAACACTAAAAATTGCTCTATATATGTTTATAATCATTTTATCACAAAATTAAGGACATCTCCAAGCAGATTAATTGCATTAGTTATTGAATTAGTTTAAA